ACCCTCCCTCCCTAACCCATTGCCAATCCAGTCTGTGCACGCTGCTCTGTCCCATGGAAACCCCATAGCTGGGAGACGGTGCCGTGGATGTCTGAGCCACCCTACCGTGAGAGGGGGCAAAGTCTCAGTGAGAAGCAGGGGAAGCAGAACGGCTCAGGAGGTCCCTAAAAGCTCAGCCATGAACAAAGACCAAAAGAAAAGAAGCCCTGTATCTTTAATCTTGTTATTTTAAAGAAAATCTCGTGAGTCTCAAGGGCCTGGCTCTTTGAGCTCTGAGCACTCAGATTTGACACTCCTGCCAAATAACCACATCTGGGAAAGAAGCATCCAGTCTCTTTGTACACGGTAGGTCTGGTCTAGACGAAAGGAGGCTTGACAACCACTGAAGTGCTTGGGCTCCACGACTTGGCTCAAACGTGTTGTGTATCATTATTGCCATGGTCCGACCATCACGTTCGGTACCAGGGGCCTGATTCTGCACCACCTCCATGCTAATTAAGAGGCCCCATAGTCACAGAATCAGGCCCTAATTGGGGCAATAGCACCTGCGGTCAGCACTAGGATGGGCCAATGTCACATCCACGGGGCAGTGGCCTTGTGTCTTCATTGGCGTCCTTATCTCCTGGCATCAGAGAAGTGGCGGGCCTTCACGTTTCCGGACAGATAACCCATGGGGCACAAGTACAAAGAGCCATTTTGCAGCTGTTGTACAAATCAAACAGGCCTCCCAGGCTATTTGCAGCCTCAGTCCTGACCGGGACCAAATCATGCCATTTTCCTGCCTGGTTCTGGCAGTACCATGTAGAGCAGTGTTTCTCAACCTTTAAAGTAGCAAGTACCCCCTAACTTCTGAAAATGTTAATAAGTGCCCCAACGTTCAATTTTCCAGGAGATTTTATATTTTCAGACTAATGTGTGCCATACATTGGAAGGAGGCCTGTGTATATAAGGCCGTGCTATGACAGATGTCTGATCTGGTGTGGGTAGGGTTGCCACCTACTACACCAGCGGTGCACAACTCGTGTGTACCTGGGCTAGAGGTGATGTTGGCCAAAGCTAGGAGGGCTGAACACCAAATTATTACTGGGGAATTTAATTTTTTTAATTGCACTAAATTTTTTGCCATACTTTTGAGAGGAAAAGAGGGTGAGAGAGAGTGTGTTGGGGTACCCGTGTCTCCCCTGCCTGTGTCTCGCGTACCCCCAGGGGTACACGTACCACAGGCTGAGAAACTATGATGTAGAGCATTAACTTTTGGTTTTGCTCAGAAGCAAAAAGGGCTGTGTTTAAGAGGCAGCAATTTCCATGAGAGCCACTGGGGGTGCATTTATAACCTGAAAAAAACCCAGTGCTTGTCTATAGGCAAATATTTACATTCCTGGTCACCCACGTGAACCCCTCGCCTGCTCAAGAAATGACTATTTGCAAGGAATGTGGAGCAGGGCTTAATGAAACAGGTGACCCTTGGTACGAGCCGGTTCAGAAACCCATGGAAAGAAAACTGGTTGTCTGGGAAATGCTAATGTCCCGGTTAATTTTAACACCATGCGGATCATGGCGTGATGCTCTCTTAACTGGATGAAAGCAAGGTCCAGGGCTCTTCACCCAGGACAGACCACCTTCAGCTTTAATGTTCACTGTCACTCAGCAGAAGGCCGGGCAGGGTAGCACCTTGTAGACTAACTCATCCATGCACTGCCTTCGTCTCCAGCCTGCTTTGTCAGATATAATGGAAGTCCGTTCATAGCATCTGAAGTAGGCTGTAGCTTACAAAAGCTCATGCCTCTTCAAACAAGTTAGTCCCCAAGGTGCACCCCTGCTCTGCTTTCTGCCTGACCTGAGACTAAGGTGGTTAACCACCACTTCCATTTGGGACAAAACTTCAGCAAGGCTGAAATCCATCCTGGGCTTTGGTTGACTTCCATGGATTTACCCAAAGGAGGGCTCTGGCCCTGGGTCTCCAAAGCCTTGGCTTGCCTCCGAGGGAAAGTTTGCTTTCCAGCCACAGATTGCCAGAGCAGCAGATCTTGCCAGTACGGTGGTGCTGAGCTCTGAGGAAAGAGTAATGGAGTTTGACCCACTTCTCACCTTCCAAGCTAGTTAAAATATGAATATTGCATGAAGCCGGCAGCCTTGGCCGGATGAACACTGCCAGAAGCTTTGCTTTTCCCTCTAAGTAAACTGCTGATTAAAAATCTGGCAGCTGTAATGGGAGCTCATATCTTGGGTAAACACAGTGCCTCCCAAGAAATCCAAATGCCTTCTCTAATACGTACATCCAGCCGGATCAGATGTATACAGGAGATGCATAGCACTGACACAGCCACGTTATTATTTGCATTTATTCTCACTGCGTTTATGTCCAACCTACAGGCGACACTAACCCCCTACGAAAAAGCATCTTTGAGTCATGGAAAGGGTGGTCTGTGGGTGCTACAGCTTGTCAGTAGGCTCAAGGCATGGTGTCCATTTGACCCCACAAGTATGAGGCCGGCTCAGACCCTATTCCAGCCCTCGGTAAAAGCAAAGATGAGTTTTCTGCATTATGCTCTCAATTACACCCATGGAGATCAGGAGCAGCATTATCAAACCCAAGGGAGATGCACCCAAGTGGTCAGTGAGAGGCGAAGTGTGTAGGCCTGACGCTGGCTTCACTTACAGCTTGGCCACCTAAGGTTATTCCTGTACAGCAGTGTGACTTCACGGCATGCTGGCATCTCTACACTCACTCCTCCTACAGACACTCTCAGAGCAAGGTATCTTACTCTGCTTTCAAAGTGGAGTGACTCCTCATGGGGAGTTAGTGTAGAGTAGTTAATAGGCTATAAATCCCCAGACTACTTCACTGCTTCGCATAAGACAAGCTCTAAGATTGATTCCACCCAAATTTCATCCAGAGGCTTCAGTGGGCTTAACTTTGGATTGCAACTAGTATAAAAGAGCAAAAGGCTTTGGCCAAAATCTTGAACTTTGGCTGCCTGGAGTCAGGCACCTAAATCTATAATGAAGTATGGGTATGCATCCACTTTTAGGACACCTGTCCTAAAAGTCAGGGAGATAGTAGGCTCAGTGCTTCTGGAAAATTCGGGCCACATATAAGTTATGTCCTGAATAAGGCTTCAGAGCCTGACTGTAAACTCTCTGCTACATTTCCAATGTCAAAGGCACCTGGCTGTGGGATGGGAATTTTGGTAATAGGCACTCCAGTTTCTCATATTGGGTTGAAGAAGAAAAAAACCAAAACCTGTCACCAGCTAGAAATGTTGCTTGGGCTACGCCTTCATTAAACTGGTGAGGTATTAAGATTTCATCTGATCTCAGCAGCTCTGGTAGGATGTGAAAAGCCCACTTTGGAGACTGGCGCTCTAGACCCAAACCAGTTACAGCTTTATAACTCAACACTGGGCGCGTTTACACGTGATGATTGAATGTGCATTAGCCTACATAATGTGCATTAAGGACCTGTGTCTATATATGCACCATTAAAAATGGAGAATTTAGGCTATTCACACCGAAATTTGACACCTGCAAATAAAGGTATCAAATTTAGTTTCATATAGTTAAAGTGCATTAGCAAATATGTAGACGAGTTATAGCACGCGAACGTCGTGTGCGGCGACTGACTTGGGACTAACTGTGTGTGTACCAGCTTTAGTCCCAAGTTGGTACACACACGGCGTTAATGCACTTTAATGCCTGCACGTGTAGACGTGTGCCTAAACCTGCTTAATGCTCATTAAGTTAAGGTGCATTCAATTTAGGCATGCTTAAATGCATGGGTAGACATGCCCATTGATACCTTGAAGGAGAGAGATGCCCCGTTGCCTCCAGCCCATGCTGGTAGCTAGATGGGACTGTTTAGCTTCATAAGGAGCTCCGGGAGAGGGGACAGGACTGTATTGTACCACCGCTGGATGCAACAACAGCTGGGATGATGTAGTTGGGGCTGGTCCTGCTTGGAGCAGGGGGTTGGACTAGATGTGTCCCCCGAGGTCCCTTCCACCCTCCTTTTCTATGAGTCTATGATTGTTGCAGGGCTGACTTAGATGCCACTATTGAAATCAATGGATGCTCAACACTTCTGAGACTGAAACCCGTGGCATCTCAGGTTGAGGATCCAAAAACAGGAGCAGGAGAAAGCAGAGGCTTTTGATTTAAGGACCTTGCTCAAAGCCAGGCAGTGAATCAGGAGAACCTCACTAACCCCCTTGCCTGCTTTCTGCCTGTGTAACCTCCTGGAGTGATGTGGTCTCCAGATGCAAGGAGAAATAAAAACACTGAGGATGCTGGTGGGGGAAAGCCTGTTTCCTTTCAACTTCTTTTAAATCTTCCACCTTCTAGTTAGAGAAACCTTGGCCCGAGCTCTTCCCTAAACGTCACTTGGGAGAAACAGGAGCACAAAGCACATTAAAGGAATAACAGGTTTTATATATATGTATGAGTCTCTGATGGAAGAGGCTGAAATTTTAGCCTAGACGATTTATAAGCAGTGTACACACAGAGAAAAAAAAGTTTTGGTTGAAAACTGTATTCCATTCCCAATGACTCACCGGAGAGATATACGGCCGTATATTTTGTGATAGGGTGAAAAGGGTATTTATTCCTGTGACACTTTTATTCCTTTAAAACTTTAAATTATTTTTTATATGTGCCTTTCTCTCCCAAGAAAATGTGCCCTTCAATAGGTTTATTCCTTCCTACTGAATCATTCCAGAGATTTATATTTTTGCGGTTTGGAGCTGAGTTTTAATCCTCAACCAGTTAGTCCATAATGGAGACTTTTACCCTGTACAGAGAGCGCAGAGATGAAGGGCCGTACCGTGGGATCCTTTTTGGTTGAGTCTCTAAACGCTTTTGACTGCGCTGCACGCTCCTGCCTCGTTTACCGCTCTCGTGGCGGGGCTGCAGCCCTACGTGAACTGAGCTGGCAGAGGTTTTAAATCTCGCTGCTAGTGAGCAGGTGGGTCTTCTTCAGACGTCGCTATGAGCCCTCCAGCCGAGAAAGGGTCAGGAGACTGAACCGTCCTTTTATACCTAGTAGCTCGGGGTTGCGGACGATTTGGCGCAGATATACAATCTGCAAGAATTGTACAATATACAAGACATGGTTGTAGCTCAACTAAGCAGATCTACAGTGGAGGGACTGCCCTTGCTAGGTCTCTCTCCAAACCTCTCTGTCTAGTGATTAGGTTCAGTTAAAACACCTTTTGAGAACAACAGCAACAAATAAAAACGCATCAGACTCACCGGCCCCCACGTCATGGACCGTCCAGCCAGGAAATAGCCTCCGACTGTCCCCCGACTTGCCCGTACAGACGACTGAAATACAGAAGGGCTTTAAATGCTTTCCTCCCTGTCCCGATCCAAAACATAGACCCCATCTCCATCTATTAGACCCCAGGACCTTCAAGTCGCCCTGCCAGCAACGTGCCAGGCATCCCCGTTCTACCCTTCCCAGGTGCTGCTGGACTTGACAGACGCTCCCCATACGGGACGTCACAGTGACTCCGCTTTGGGAAGGTTTAATAAGTGGATTTAAGATGCCATTCACAGGTGATGATGATGATTAAAAAAAAGGGGAGTTAATGTACTGGTGTACCAGTCTGGTGTAATGAAACTCCATGTGCTATTGCATCCATTTCTGTGATGTCAGGGATCTCACCATCTCGGAAAACCCAAGTTGGGGCACAGGATTGCACTGGGGTAAACTGGAGCTTCCCCATCCTAAGGGTGGATGAGGACAGGGTTTGGGCCTTGGGAGGGTTGATTCTTTCAAGGTTTCCCATCACAAGTGAGATGATTTCTTCATCATCCCTGTGAAAGCTGCAGGGTGCCTCCTACATATGTTCAGCCAGCATTGCTGGGCAGCGGGTGTAGAAGTGCCTCCTGTCAATACAAGCTAAGGGCTCCTCAAGTCTTACCAAACCCTGGCAGAAGCTCTCACAGGCTGGCACCAGACCCTGAAGTCCTCAAAAGCCAGCACTGATCTGTGGCTATATGCACAAGGCAGCCTCCCATGCATGGAGAAACCTGGAGGTTTGACCCAAGCTCTTACAGACTGCTTCTCCCCACATATAACCAGGTGGCCCAACTGGGTAGCTACTACCATCGGATGGATTAAAGAGGCTTCTGCATGTGTGCAATGACCTCCTGACGAGTGTGCATGTTCAGGCGTCCCGAGCTAGATCACCGTGCCCTTCTGCCAACTAAGCCATGAGAAGGGAAATAAGAGATTTCCCATTCAGCCCATTTGTCTTCTCACTCCTTCAAAGTTACCCAACTGTCCCATACGGCATCAGGCCTCTTGTCTCCACTTCATTATAGATTCCTTATCAATGCCGGCAGTGATAATGAACCTATGGATGGATGCAAACCACTCACTGAATATATCTAGCATGCAGAAAATAGCAAGGATGGCAGCCGAATTACCCCCTTGAAAGGTGCGCGGGGTGAGGGAAAGCTCCTTGAAACATCTCGACCCGCTACAGATCTGGGGAAGGCCCGTTCCTTCTGGCCTGACGTACACAGCATGCACAAATAGAGACAAAGGATTTCTAAGCAAGTACCTTTGTACACAGGAGAGGCGTAGAGCTGATTAAATGTGCTCGCTCTCTCTCTCCTTTTTTTTTAATAGACAGAAGCAACCGTTCAGCTCCTGAACTCACCCATATCCCGACGGCAAGGACAAAGACAAAGTAAATGACGACGACCACGATGTCTATAACCCCGATGGTCAAGCTCTTCTCCTCGGGATGGCTGGGCAGCTCCGTGGTGATTGGGGTGGGCTGGCTCATGGCCGTGAATGCACTGTTGATTACCTCTCTCTCACGCTGGACTTTGGGGCATGTTTTCCTTCATTATTTCCTTTAATAATTAACAGGTTGGAGAAGGCGTCAGCTGGGATGGAGCAATGTGCTGGGTCAATACTAAGGTTTGGGACGAGCTAGCAGTTGGGGGGTCCCCGAGCGGCGCGTGTCGTCTGCCAGCCTGCGGACCGGGCAGTAGTCCTCCCGGCTTTGGGAGCTGGGCTTGAGTGGGAGGGTTCAGGGAGTCTAACTCTGCCACTCTCCTCTTTGTAACCTTGGGCCAGTCACTTAGACCTATGTTCTCAAATGTATTTAGGCACCCAACTCCCACGATCCATCTCCGAATCTGGGATTCAGTCTGACTCCGTGCCTCCTGCTAGCACACCGGGGTGTTGTGAGGGCAAATGCAAATCAAAGATTGAGGGCTAGAAGATGCTACAGCCAGGGGTGTGATAAAAGGATCAGAGAAAAGCATTTCTCCTCCCTCCCACCACCTCAGTGTCAGGTCTTGGAAGCACCGAAGCCAGCAGCTGTCCCTTGCTACATCTGTTTGGAACAGCTGTGCACAGGAACAGCCTAGGGTCTGGTCCCTAGAGCGTGCCTTTAGCTGAAATAAAGGTTTTGCCTTGGTGAGGACTGAGGAGTAAGAGGATGAGAAGCTCAGGGTTTAGAGTAGGCATGCACCCCAGTCACTGCGCTGACTGCAGCTTGCGTAGATAGACCCGAGCTCGCTTCGTGCCAGCTGACGGCAGCGTGGGCTGAAAAGCACGCCAGAGGAGCTGCATAAGTACGTGGGCAGTCAGCCAATATGCCGAGCTGTGGGCTGCTGCAGCTCTATTTCTGTCGGCGCTTGGACCATTTACTTTAAAGCTAACGCGGGGACATCTCCGTCACCTGCAGTCACACCCAGTGGTGCTAAGGGACCCTCAGCCACGATCCCTAGGTATTTACCTTAAAACCTATTCAAAGTTTAAGGAGACAGCTGTATTGCATACATACTAAGGAGGCATCTACATTGCAAATACGATGGGGGCTCTCTCACAGGCACCCCACCCACCTGCTTGTGCATGCCAAACTCAGAAATAAGCTAATGAATGTGCCCTGGGGCAGTAGGGGCATTTCCCATGGGAACTCTTGAGACCTCTGTACTTGATGGGGGTGGTGGGGAAGAGACCCCCGGAGTCTAGCAAATGTGGCCTAGGTACCTGATGGGAACAGGCCTCTTCCCAAAGGATTTAAGGAGGCTTCAGCAACTATGAAGGATGCTTGGGATTTGGTCTGAAATTTCCAGTGCTACCTGTCCCCTCCCAAACTGACCAGGAATATCCTTGAAAAGGACCTCTCTCCTAGTACCACAGCAGGTTCACTTTCAATCTTAGATGTAACCAAGAAGTACAGAAAGGCTTAATTAAAGGTATTGGTGGGGAAAAGTGATTTGAAGTTCCTTAAACCTTAAAAGAAAAGATTTTACCTCCTAGGGAGGAGCTGGATGAGAGCCCTGACTGCATGTAAATCAAGTGCATGTTCAACATCCTTCAGGTCCCTAGGATGGGCGATCAACCATCCGGCACACAAGCGGTTAAGCCCACCTGGCTGCATCCTAGTGCCAAATTCAGACAATGACGTGGCTAATAGTAGTGAAGAGATTAAAGGGGGGACTTATATGTGGCTGGAAGGCTGACGTATACGGAGGGAAAGGCCAGGTTTATCGTCACTGTATCCCAATATAGTTTTACTGCTGTTTTATGAAGCCAGCTGTATGAGCTGCGTGCGTGAGAACAGCTGAGATGCATGCTCAGTCCAGGATAAAGAAAATGAAACAGCCTCTCTGCTCCATGCTGAAATTTCTAATGGAGATGTGAAGTCCTTCCTGAGAAACATCATCTAAACCAGTCTGCAGAGGAGAAAGGATCTACTGCGTACAGGCATGAATGAAGAGGAAGGACACCTTCCCACCTCTTCGCCTAAGGCATCTGATCACCTCTGGTGGATTGCATCAAGGTGTTCACAACGTGAAAGCAAAGGTGTATTTTATAACTAGGAAAGGTCTGAATCAGGTGCCACCCCCGAGCAAAACCAGCAGGCAAAGAAAAGGAGCTCAGCATGCACTGTTATCTCCCCAACCCAGCCATGAATCAAGGAGGTAGTGTGTGATCTCCTGAGTTGTGAACCAGCAACTCCTTTCCAGCCCCACGTCCTCACGACTCACAATTTTTTGCATGCCTGGGGCTGATATAACCCTGCTGGCATCACTTTGAGCTTTTGCCATGCAGGTCCTGAGGGCACATTTGAAGCAGCCACCTGGGATCCAGGGCCTAGCTTTGGGGGAGGGAAGGATTCAATAAAAAAACGAGGACAGAACCCATGACTTTGCGTGGTGTTTCTTTACTCTGTAAGTGGGTAGAATGAAAACTTAGCAGGGAGTTCAGCCGGCGCCTTTTCCGACAGGGCGCAGTGACACCTGGTGGGTGAATTAGGGAAGAAAACACGGGCCTGAACGTGTCCAGCACCTGGATGGATTGCCTTCCTCCCTTTGGAAGGAAAGAGCTGCCTTGGCTGAATCATCCAAGCGCACGAGCTGCAAGCCCAAGGTCCTGACTGCTTGCAGGCATTAAAGATCCTGCAGCCCTTGTTGCCGGAGGAGCTCCCCTCTTCTGGCCAAATTGCAGTTTGCATGATTACGTCCTGTCTCTTTGATTCCCGGCCGCAGATCCAGCTGGGTTTGGGAGCTGGCTTTTACCCCTGCCTGGCAGCTGGGTGGGATTCCTGCGGACTGCAAAAAAACCCCTGCTGCGGACCTGGTTGCATCTCAGCAGCGGTAAAGAAAGCAGGATGCTTAAAGTGAGGCTTGAGCAGTGTGCACCGGCCTTTCCGGACGAAGCCTGGCGTGCGCGAGTGCATGCAGGGGGCAAATTCCACCTCCTTATTATTATTGCCTTCTTGCAATTGCTTTTCATTTGCATAGTGGGTGAGGACCCGTGAACTCTGACCTTCCTGATGACCTCCCCTCAACCGGAGCTGATAAATCCCAGTCCTATCAGCAGGACATACAGCAAGGGATAGCACAGGCCGATAAAGTGATAGGTGCATTGCTTTTATCATGTAACTAGCTGGCACTGAAGGAGTTAAGTTGCTGGTACCCCAATTACAGGCACTGGTAGGGCGGGGAGGATGCGGGGAAAGCTGAGGTGGCAGCGAGGGTGGCAGCTGTCTCAGGCCATTAGCAGGAGTGGGAGAGGGAGGAAGCCACTCCGGGTTCATCAGGGACCTGTATAATTGCTCTCAGGTGTGGCCAGCCTGAAACTCCAGTTCCACCTCTTCCTCCTGTCAGTGCTGCAGGCCACGTGGCAGGATCTGGGCCATTGCCCAGCTGTCAGGACAGGCCCCGGCGCTCAGGAGCATGCCGTACTCTCTGTCCTGCAAATCTCCAGACAAGCCTGATACCATTGTCTTGGGGCTCTGCAGGGGGGAGGGGGAAAGGCACCAAAAGTTAGCAAAAGTCCAAAAGCAGCCAGTTGCTCTGCTCTGAAATGCCTCCTGCAACCCCCGCAGCGACTCAGGGACGACAGATGTGGGGGAACAGAGCAGATGTGGACCCACCTAACGTGCTGAGAGTGGCCTTGCCCTTGACACTGAGTGAATCGTTTCAGTCTCAGCGACTACAGGAGACGCAGGGAAAGCCCTGCAGCACTGCCAGGGTCTCTTGTCAGGATGAAGCAGAAGCAGGTGGGCACTACTGCAGGCCAGGGGTGGAGGCAAGTTGCCGGAGGGCTGCTCCTGCAGCATCCCCTCTGTTTTACCTGATGGGAAAGACTCCCCAGATAGCTGGGCTGAGTGACAAGCACAGGGGAAGGCGTCGCACCCAGCAAAATGTCATAACACCCAAGCGGGGTGTTAATAGCCAGGATCTCCAGAATTACATGCACAAACTGCTACAGCCTAGGCTTATACCCCTCTCCCCCCTACACACACACACTCTCCAACCATAGGTGCAATACACTCATATTCTCTGTGAACCCAGCACGGGGAGGGAGAGATTGTAACACACATTCACCTCCGGTTACATTTGCACGGAAGAGTCTCATTTTCATTGCACACATTAGTTGTGCTTGATAGCACCCACAATATGAGTCACCCCCACCCCAGCACCCCTCTAGCTATGGATAGGGGTTTCACAGCATTGTTGCCACATCTGGATTAAACCTCAGTGTGGACACAGTGTCCCCATTTTAGTAGTAACCAGCACTGGTGCAGCTCACCTGGTTTGCAGCACTGGCTCCCTCCATTAGCTCTAGTGTATAATTGTGTGCATTGGGAGAGCTCTGAAAGCACTGTTGTCTAGCTGACCATTGCCCCCCCCCTGCCAGCCAGGCAGGCAGGCCTGACAACATTTTTAACTTACCTTGTGAAAGTCTCCAGGCAACGGTAAGATCTGGTGTGGCTTGAAGGCTCCTGGCCGGAGCTCACGCTCTCGTGCCTGGCCTGACCCCAAATCTCCCGAGCTGCCGGTTTCCATGAGCTCAGGCACCAGCCCCATTTCAAACCATTTGCCACTTGGGCTTTGCAAAATTGCCACAGCAGAGCACCAGAAGTTCACGCTGAAGAGCCCTGCTCCAAGCTCTGCTCTTGTCCTGAGCAGGATTATTGCAAGAGACCTGCATTTTCACTAGCACACGTGCACTTTTGCACATGCCTGCTCCCAGTTGAGCCCACACGTGGGGGCACTGATACATGCCAGCATGCACGCTGGCTCAGGGAACCTGCCCTAAAATACCCATATCCAGTCGTGATGGCGCTGAACCCCAAAGCATATAGGGCAGCGCCCAGGCCAGGCACAGGTGGGCACTATTGGGTGGGCTTCGGCAGAGCTGCGCCTGAGTGTATCCCGGCTGGGATGGCCTGCAGAGCTAAGCACACCACAGAGCTCCATCAAGCCCCTAACAACTATCAAACTATGAAACCTGGAAAGTCTACATCCCTAGCACCTCAGGACCTGTGCATTGCAAAGCTTTCCAGTGATGGCAAAG